GTGCTGATTTAAGTATAACTAAGGTAAATTTATATGAAGGAAAACATCATATGAAACCTGTATTTATGAGGAATATAAATATTTCTAAGACACGTGACAATCAAAATGCGCTAAATCAGGGCAGCGGTATAATTTACGTATTACAAAACCAATACTTGATAAGAATGCCGCCTGGTGGTAAGTGGTAATCAATTCCTAGATGATAAACATATTGTCTTAGCGTAACAAAAGCCTATTCATAGAGATGAGAGATGGCCTGGGCTTAGCAGTGATGCTTATATAAGCCATAACTTTACTCAAAATAATTTAGTGGCTTTATTGTGTTTATAAAATTATTGTTTCAATTAAATGCATTTGTTTTGTTCCTGAACCTTATAAAGAGCCATTCAGTTGTGTTAACGGCTCTATTGTCTAAATTACTGCAATCGCAAATTTTTTATCTGTCTGGCTGGCACGTGCTGAAAAAAATAAAGGTTATTTTAAATGGGACAATTGCTAAAAAATTAGAGTATTTTTTTAAGATCTAAAATAAAAGTTGTTATTGAGTTTTTAGCTTCATCTAATTGACTTCAAAGGGACTACGACTTGAAGTTTGAAGGACAAAATTTGTATGTAACTTGTTAAGGAAAAAGGAAACCAATTTGTGAAATTTAACTTTATTTAAGTACATTTTTTCTTTACATTATTCACATTATCAATTTTTATCAATACTTTTTGTATATAATAAGGGTGACAAACGAGCATAGAATCCATGTTAAGTGGATGCTGTAGCTCATAGACATCTACATCTATCCTCGATTAAGAACTAAGAACTAAGATAGAATTCATCGTTGCTTGTAAAAAGGGTCTCCGGTTCTCTGCACTCGCCATACGAAATACAGCAGCATTAAGCTGCTGTTTACGCTAGTATTCTGTGAAAACATAATCCTACCCCAGTCGTGTCGACCCATTCATGCTGCAACTATAATATAGCTGCAGCGTAGCTCTATAAATCATAATACCGCAGGGTCAACTGTAAAAGAGTCTTGTAATTTTGTCTCGAGGAGATACGTGACATTTTCTACTGAAGCTATTATGCATTGATAGCATTTAATTATCCAAATACTAAGACATGTTTGTTTACATTTTTTTTACATTCGTAAATGAAATAGTAAGGCGTGGCGTTCGTCTCCGATTAAGGTATGAGGTTGCTTTCAACTTAATGAATTACTTTTAAAATAGACCCTTTATATGTCCATTGTGTATTATTTGAAACGATTACATTTAGTCCTCAAGGATGACACGCGTCTGTATTTTGATTCCTAATCGAGGATAAATGTTAATGTCTATGGGTGTGTGCTCATTTGTCACTATCATTCTTAAAAATAAAAGGCTGACATTTCCTTACCTGAGTCGGACATGTGAAGGCATTTTCCATGAAAAAATAATCCACGTCTACCTCAATAAAAAGTAATATTTTCTCGTAAAGAAGAGTAAAATTAGGTACATATACGTCTCACTTCTGGAGACAGGTTTTCTCTCATTTCTGAGTGGGTTATTTTTATGTAACACTTGTTAATAAATAAGATTAAGACACATTGTCAGTTTATCGTCACTTACTCGTTTTTAGGTCCTACAAATTCCACAGATACCGCACATTATGTAAACTTGCAAAGATCGTACCATGATCATTTATATTTCTATTGACGAAAGGGTCATTAATAATCCATATTCGTCGTTAGATACATAAATAGACATTAAAATGGACATTAATGACAATTTGGATATTAAATTAAAAAAAAAAACTAAAAGTAGTAACTTAATTATCATACAGTCCTACTCCCCGCGGTATCGGCCAAGAACGCTGGCTGCGTTTCCCCGCATTAAATTGAAGACTTAATTTAGACCTTTTAACAACCAGTTTTATTTAAATTAATAGTGCATTAATAAAGGCTGTATAACTCACACCACACTGATGAGATAAAATTTCGTTAAAAGGTAATTTATAGCCATAAAATGAACGTTCTAATTCATTATATAAAATGGAGCGAGCTGTAATATGATACTGTCCTAATGGGCGACACCCATGACATTTATTAACCTGGAATATAGAGGACTTGAAATACTTGAATATTTATGGTGAAAATTGGAAAATTGACTACGATATTTTATAAAGCGAATTAAGTAAAAAACGTCGACTAATATGTATTGAAAATAAACACCATTTTTCGTGACATAGCTTTTTCTTCATTAAGTGTTTTACTAAGTCCAGGTTTGGGCATAGATTACTTTATTTCTTCAGTTCTTTTTCTTCTTCTTCTTAGTCAAACATAATAAGGCCACGGCTGGGCTTCTTTTGTTTTAGGCAGGACTTTCCCTATTTGCTACGCCTCAGGCGAATTGACGATCACAGTAAAAAAATCTCACACTTAACAAATACCTTATGGGTAATAACAATAAATCAAATTATTTTTAGAACGAAATATCTTAATTTTAGCCTCTTTTAACCCTAAAAGCTAAAACTCGAATATAGGCGAACAAAAAATATCCAAAAATAACCGATAAATAACAAAATACAATCTTAAATAAAAACAAAACGAAATCAATTACACTTTGAGGAAACTTGTATAAATGTTGTATTATGTTGTAAAAGATGAATAATTCTGACAAAATCCTCAAGCCATTTAGTCGTTCATACTATTTGTTTCAGAACTTTCATTTAAGCTGAAAATGTGTGCGTACATTGCAATGTACGCACACATTTTCCATTAAAACTAGCAGTAAAAACCATTAAATGATGGTGATGATAATATGGAGCAAAATATAGCGTGAAATATTTAGCAATGCGATCGAAAATCATGGGTACTGTAAAGCATAAGGCATATCAGGAATATAAATCCATAAAAGTAATACGTAAATGAAATTGTAAGGCGTGGCGTTCGTCACCGAGAATGGCTATACGATTGCTTTATTAATTATTTTCAATGCAGAACTTCGAAGTTTCTAATGTGTGTTTTCAAATAATTTTCATTTCTGCATATTTACTAGATATAAAAAAAAATATTTAAGGTACGGTCACGCACGCACGCACGCACGCCCGCACGCACGCATGCAAGCACTCACGCTCACACGCACGCACGCATACTAACGCACGCACGCACGCTCGCATTCACGCACGCAGCATGCCCGTACGCACGTACGCACGCACGCACGCACGCACGCCCGCCCGCCCGCACGCACGCACGCCCGCCCGCACGCACGCACGCACGCAAGTGTAGTATCCATATTACATACAGACATGAATGTAATATGGAAATAACTCAAAATAGATAAAAAACTTAATACTAAAACATCACATATCACTGCGGTGGATGCCACGTGATCGTAGGTATTACAAAGCCCGCAAAATATAAATTCTGTATAATCGGTTTCAATTATTTAATTGTTTTATATTCCTAAGCTTCTCCATTTCCTTCTTTCTATCTTATTGCTATAATCATGATGCTTAGTAGGCAGATATCCGATCACATTATTAGATGTCTCACAGCTTTAACACCGTCAGGGCATTTCTGGCGTAAAGTGATGATTACGCCTACATCTTTTGAAAGTCATGTTATCTCATACGAAATGAAATTCTCTTACATCCTTACTACACGGTATTACAGCCTTTTAATAATATTTATTAAAATTTGTGAGTTTTAATCGAGAACAAATAGTAATGCACATGTAATATAGAAACAGTTTATATCCTGGGGGTGTAGTAGTGTGGGTTTTCAAGCCGCTGTTCAAAACCAGTAGTGCTATTTCACGCCACTTTATTTCGTGAGAGAAAAAGCAAGCCTCGGTAATCGTGTACATTAGGCAATTTCGCATTCATATTTTAAAACTCACCTGCTGAATAACCTAAGTAAAATTATATTAGACGTGATTTGCTCGAAAAAACTTCCATATTTTTAGAATAATTTTTTTTTGTGAAATTTGCTATCGTTGGTGTACATTTATCAATCTGCGTAGTAAATAAAATATATTTCGAGAACATAATGTATGTATGTACACAAATTATGGTACATACATACATACATACCTGTTCCATTTCGTTCTGCCTTTTAGTAAGTAAGAGAATCAACTAGCCCATATCATCTCTTGGTTGACGTGAGAGGCAACAGAGGGGAATGACACAGGAGATGGACAATAGCATTTTCCCGATGTCAATTCTAAAAAAAATGAAATCTCCCGTTGTCAACCCGCCTGCCAAGCGAGGCAACTATGGTAACTTACACATGCGATAGATCTATTCAGCTATGGATTTTGGATAGGCTGTAATGATAACGATGGTGATTACGCTTTTGTCTGAACTTCAGAGTATGCATATTACGAACCTGAACGGAGTAGAGAGATGTTTACAGACCGTTATAACACTTTAGTTTAACTTACAATTACAAAAAAAGAACACGAATTATAAAGAAAACGCAAACGACACCACTTAAATATCTACAATTTATTCTCTTGCCCTTGTTTGCTCTACATTCTCTACTTAAGATAGGAAAACTATGTATCTACGATAAATCGATAGTCTAATGTAAGGATATTTTAGAAGGGTTATTTAGGTTATGTAATTTTGACGAAAATAGGTATTAATACATACAATCAACTCAAAAACCATTACTTTTATTTTTAACAATTTACTATGTTTACTTCATCATCATCATTATCATCATTACAGCAGTACTGCCACTATCGACTTCCTGTATCTATTGCTAGGTCCTACCTCATCAAATAGGGGGCCCCGCTGTAAATAGCTTACCAGTACGAGACTGCCACTCGCAAACCTTTCTTTCCTGTCAGTTGTTGGTTCTTTGAGCTATATGGCCCCTTCAGCTTACTGATCTATTAGGTTATGCTGTTTACTTCGGTTCATTGGTTACTCTGTAACTATCTTCACTACGAAGTCTATCACGCTGATACGCTACCGGGATAGACCGCGCCTTAGATGCATATGTCCTCACTAACACTATGCTTACCTGTTTCCAAACAAAGCAGTCCACGGCAGCAATCCCCGTTGGTGTTACACGGCGAGCTGTAGCAGTGGCCGGTTTCTTCAATAGCATTTTCAATACGGTTCCCTTCTAGAGCCTCGGCGTATACGTCATCAGGCTCCACCTGTGGAAAACGCTATATTATTAATTTATATTAAAGTGAGGCTTCTATTTTTCATTTATACTGACGCCCGTGTACCTCTTTATAAAAAGAACATAGACTATGCAAAGGCTGCGGCTATTGGTCGGCCAAGCTCGAAGAACAGATAAGCGATGAAGAGGGACGGTTCTCGAGTGTAATACATCGCCTTTGTTTTACAAGTACTAACAGTTTAACTTTGGGTTGATGTTACAAACACTCTTCAAATGTAAATTTTGTGTTAGTAGTTATGTGTTTTGTCTGCGATTCAAATTAGGGATCTGCAATTCAACAGCAAGGGACTTAATAATTCAGTACAAGCAATATGTTTCTATCCTATTTTAGGACATCTCTACCAGATTCGAGAGACTATACTCTAACAGATTCTTAAAGGGCCAAAGAAATTTTATTAATGCATACATATTCTGCTAGGAAAAATGTATAGAAATTAAAAATATGCATAATTTTATAAGAAAAGGTTAGTAAGATACTAACCAGAATATTATTGGAGCTTAATAAATTTATGAGCAAGAATGCAGCCGCTAGCATAGGTTAGGGCGGTTTAAAGGGTGAATAATTTACGGTTCAACTGATTTTAAGTGACCTTTCATGGTTAACCTTTGCCATATTTACAAGTACCTGATTTAAAAATATATAAATGAAGCTACTGTGAATACAAAATTTTCAATCGAATGAAAAACGGAATATAGGCCAGGGTTCTAAATTAGTAAGGCATAGAAAAGTTTGATAAATGTTTAACATACATTTTCTATCATCACGATGAAATGATTAAAGTTTATGTTTATTTCACAAGCATTTAGGGTTTGTAAATCTTCATTTTCTGCCGACTTCCAAAAATGAGACGGTACTCAATTCGACTGTATGTTTTTTTTATGTGTGTTACCTCATAACTTTTTACTGGGTGAACCAATTTGGATGATTCTTTTTTTATTTGAAAGCTGGTACTTCTCGTGTGGTTCCATATGAATGTGACCAAGGTCAGCCCAATACTTATTGAGTTACTCTTAATATCTTATATTGAAGTCGGCTTTTACAGTGGTAGAGCCACGCGGCAGCTTTTCCTGTCGCACGGATGGGCCGGCTCGAACCGGGGTGGTACCACGACCTCACAGAATACCAGCGTGAAGTAGAGGTTTACTTCTGCGTTTCGCTTGGTGAGTGCAGGTGGCCGGAGGCCCTTTTTACTGGAAATGAGGCATTCCATCTTAGTCCTCACGGGTGGCAACGCATCTGCATTTTGATTCGCAAACGAGGATAGATGAAGATGTCTATGGGCCGCAGCAACCACTTACCATCAGGTGGACTGTGTGCTCGTTTGTCACCCTTATCCTATACAATTTAATTACAATTGGGCCCCGTAGGTGGCGCTGTTGTCGAGACCCAGAAATCAATCGTGTGAAGCCGGGGCCTATCGCTAGTACTGAATGAGAATGATTATATTAAATAAGATAATATTCTGTTCTATTCTTTTCACTGCTGCGAGGAAGCGACGGGTCCCTATGTAGAAACAGGGCTATACTTATTGACCTTTGATAATGTGTATCATCTACAAGAAAGAATTAATACAAAAAAAAACTGGCTATAAAAAACTTTATTCCATTTTAGTGCAGCTATATTATAGTTGTAAAACGAATGGGTCAGATTGACCGGAGAATGATCGCGCTGTCATAGAATACCAGAGTAAAGTAGAGTAGGAGTGTTTCGTATGGTTAATGTAAAGAAATGGCGACCCTTTTTACTGACATTTTTTTACATGGCGACCATTTTTACTGACATCTTTTTACATACATTTTATCTTTGTCCCCAGCATCTGCTCAATTGAGGATAGCTGTAGATGTCTATGGGCCACAGCATCAACTTACTATGAGGGTTACTATGTGGTCTCGTTTGTCACCCTTATTCTATAAAAAATTCACCTTTGTGAATAAAAATATTGATCGAAAGTTTTAACTAAAAAAATAAATGTTTTTGTCTTACCTGGCCGTAAGGATATTGGCGGTAAGGTGAGCGCCCGTACCCCAAGTTAGCCAACATATCGGAACTGAAGCGGTTGAAGAGACCACCCCAAGCATTAGCAGAGGCCAGGCAGCCAACAACGACGAGCGCGATAAGAGACATGTTCGTGCTGCAACAATGATATGTAATTTAGTAAAATTTTGTAGTGTCGTTGTGATAGATACTGCTGTTCAAAATTTTTTTGAAATTTATCGGATTCCTTAGGATTATTTGCGTTCTTTTACGACACCCATAACAATGAATATCGTAAGGGATGACAGATGTGGTAACTCTGGGGATAAGAGCTCGGCCTTTATTTTGATAGCTTATGAGTACAACCCGCATCAGCACCAATGAATTGTTTATTACAATTTTAAGTGCTGATTTCTCGGCAGTGAAAAAACCTCCACATTGTAATGAGACTTTCGTGTATTACAAATTTAAAAAGCTTTTCAAGTTCCAAAAGAATAAATACTACCATTACGCATTAGGGCAGCGCGGCGGACTCTTTCCTGCTTCATAACCGTAAAGCGCTAAAAGTATGTTCAAAAGTACATCCCAGAGGTTTTCTTCTACTTTTTTATTTAAAAAAAATATATGTACAAAGCAGAATCATGTTATTACATAATATAATACTAGCTCGCCAGGCAGACGTTGTTCTGCCCTTTCCAACGACCCTTCCTATAAAAATCCTTAATTTCGTATAAATTAATAATAATGTAATGTATTAATAGTAATGTAAGTAAATCCTTAACTTCCTATAAAAATCCTTAATATCTCTTAAGTTGGACCAAAATGCACACAATCTGCAAAATTTATTTGAAATCAGCTCAGTAGTTTAGGAGTTCATCGCGGACAAACAACGTGACACGTAATTTTTATATATAAAGATTATATGTAAGAGTAAATTAAAAACCCTTTCGTAGAGTATCGAAATGCAAATATCGTACAACGTATGGAATTAATTTCGTATGCCAACATAATATGGAACTTGATTCAAAGGGAATTAAAATTTATTATTCAAGATTCTCTTTCACGAAATTATCTAATCTGAATAACGTTGAGAATTGTTTGCGGATTAAATTGTGTTGTCTTAAGTTATTTCATTTCATATTTTAGTAGCGTTTGCTTGTTAAGGTTTGGTTATTTGAATAAGTTTTGTATTTCACGTTCTAACATTTATTTTAAATGTGAAATACAAAACATGTTTGATTATTAATTTATGTCGTTAGTTAGCGATTTTTAGGGACCGATACGGTTTAGGTACCTTCATCAAAAGAGTTTTTTTTTTTTCACCTGGGTTGGTGGTTTTCAAGTTGTTTATGAGCGGCGGTAGTCACTTACCGCATACCGAGCCACACGCTCGTTTTCATTTCATTTCATTTTCATTACAGCCTTTCACAAGTCCACTGCTGAACATAGGTCTCCCCCAAAGAATGCCACAAAGCACGGTCCTGAGCCACCTGCATCCATCGACATCCTGCATGTCTTACCAGGTCGTCAGGGGGACGCCCTACACTTCGTCCGCCGGTACGAGGCTGCCACTCGAGAAACTTTTTCCCCATCGGTTGTCGGTTATTCGAGCTTATATGGCCGGCCCATTGCCATTTCAGCTTATTAATCCTTTAGCCTATGTCGGTAACTCTGGTACTACTGCGGATATCCTCATTTATAAGTTTATCACGCAGAAAAACCCCGAGCATAGCCCTCTCCATAGCTCGCTGAGCGACCTTGAACTTTCTCATACGGCCATCAGTGAAGGACCACGTTTCAGTTCCATAGGTCATCACTGGCACGCTCGTTTGACGCGTCTTATATAAAAAATTAGTTTCTGTTATTGTAATAATGTGTATATATATATATATATATATATATATATATATATATATATATATATATATATATATATATATATAGAAAACACTTTTGTTGTGTGATAGTAAGAGCGTCGATCTGTCTCGGTAGCGCAGTGACTCTTCATTATATTAAAGATCAAGTCCGCCGCGATACCCCACTGCGTATAGTTGACGGATTGTACATGACAATGACAGTGACAGTTGTCATTGTCATGTAAAATCACAATTAATATAATTGACAACGAAAATTGCCAATGTAGTGGTGGGTAAGAATACCCAATACCCCATATCTTCCCGTGGGTGTCGTAAAAGGCGACAAAGGGAAACTGAGGAGAAGATGGGCAGCAGCATCTTTCTGATAACAGCAAAACAATAATAAAAAAAACTGCGGTTACCAACCAGCTCGCCAAGCGTGACAACTATGGCAATATACCCCCCATGATTAAAGTTACGAAGAGACGGCCCCAGTCCCTAGCAGCCCCGCTATTCCTAGATACGGTGGCGACAACGGTAACAGCGGGGCAGGGGGTGCTAAAAATCTCCGGTGGAGGTTCGGTTACCACCTAAGACGACTCGACCTGGCAACATATAACGCACGCTCCCTGAGGACTGACGAGATGATCCTGGAACTGGAAGAAGAGATAGACAAGTTGCGCTGGAATATTATAGGATTATCTGACGTCCGAAGAGAGGGGGAGGACATGGTAATCCTCGAATCCGGCAACTTGTTCTATCAGTCGGAGGGCGACCATCTGTCTCAAGGAGGTGTCGAATTTATCGTCCACAAGTCTCTCGTTAACAACGTTGTAAAGATTGGGAGTGTGTCGACGAGGGTTGCATACCATATACTCAGGATCACCAAACGGTATTCGCTGAAGGTCATACAGATTTACGCACCAACCTCGGCACATCTCGATGAGAAGGTGGAGGAAATGTATGAGGATATATTTAGAACCATGCATTCTTCCGAAACCCAATATACGGTGTTAATGGGAGACTTCAACGCAAAACTAGGCACAAGAGAGAACGGTGAGCTGAAGGTAGGAACACGACCAGACTACTACTGTTCAGTGATGTCTCAGTTATCACGAGGATGGAAACTGGCAGCGATCATCGAATGTTGAGAGGTAAACTGAACCTAAACGTTAAGTTGGAGAGGTCACGTCTAATGAAGTCAACGTTCCGCCCCCATCCTGCTCTAATCCCAAGTTCCGAAACCCTTCAGCTCGAGCTGCAAAACCGTTTTCAGTGCCTAGAAGATTGCAATGCAGTGGACGATATGAATTAAAATCTCGTGGAAACTGTCCATGCGATCGGAGCTAAGTTTTGCAAGACCCGCCGCAGAAGAACACAAAAACTCTCCCATCACACTCTTAATCTCATGGCTGTTAGACGAGAAATGAAGCTGCAGTCTTCAACAGATTCCACAGCATACAGGCGACTGAACAGACAGATCTCCAAATGCATGCGGCGGGACATATGCTACTTCAATACGGCTTGGTTCAATAATCAGCGAGCGGAACCAAGGCTCCAAAGTCTTTGCCAGAGATCTGTCTGCCAGAAAGAGCCAACTGTCAAAGCTGAAGACTGAGTGTGGCAGCATCGTTTCCGGGACACCTGAGATTTTGAGTGAGATTGAGACGTTCTATGGGCAGCTGTACACGTCATCATTGGAGCCACACGCAAGTGTGTGTAACGATACAAGAGCGTGTCTTATCCGACACTATTCCGAAGATATCCCGGAGGTCAGTCTGAGCGAGATTAGAATGGCTCTCCAGCTCCTTAACAACGGCAAGGCCCAGGCGAGGATGGAATTACAGCATAGCTTCTGAAAGCGGGTGGAAACCGCTACTTGAAGTCCTTCAGAAGCTCTTTAATTACGTCCTCCATGGCGGCACTACACCGGAGGCGTGGAGTAGAAGTGCGGTGGTCTTGTTCTTCAAAAAATACGACAATAATCTCTTGAAGAACTAGCCGCGTCTACGTGCTGTTTTCGAGAGTCACTACGAATCGTCTCACATGAACACTCGACGACTTCCAGCCTTCCGAACAAGCCGGTTCCCGAAAAGGCTTTAGCACCATAGACCACACACATACCCTTCGGCAAATTGTACAGAAGCCCGAAGAGTACAATTTGTCACTAAGTATGGAGTATGTAGACTATAAGAAAGCCTTTGATTCCGTCGAAATTTGGGCGGTGCTGCAGTGTCTTTAGAGGTGCCAAGTTATCTGTCGGTATATCGAAGTGCTGAAGTGTTTGTACAGTAGGGCTACGATGGCTATCCGAGTATAGAACCAGAGTACAAAACCTTTCCAACTGCAGAGAGGTGTAAGACAGGGTGAAGTTATATCAGCGAAACTCTTCACCGCTGCATTGGAAGACGTTTTCAAGCTTCTGGACTGGAAAGGATACGGTATTAACATCAACGGTGAGTATATCGCTAACCTTCGATTTGCCGACGATATAATCCTTATGGCAGAATCGCTGGAGGATCTAAGCACTACGCTGTTATGATGATGATGATGATGGTGACAATGACAATTGGAGGTGGTGACCTTCACCGTTACGCTAAGCTACTGAGATTTGTGCTTATAGCCTAATAAATCATTTTTCTGGATCTGGGTTGTTTTTCTAAAATTTATATATGAAAAATTAATATAATATGTACACTATACGTATGAAAAAGCCTCCATGATGAAGCGGACACTTCCTACAAACTAAGAATTAAGTTTATGCTTATATAAGATATATTAAGTAAGTTATCTACTTCATGAAGAAACCGATTATTTTCTCAATGTTGAAAGAAAATATTTCTTGCTATAAACTGTTATCTTGCAATAAAATGTTAGAAATAGAAAGTATATCTTGTTCTAATGTTAGTTGGAAAAGCGATATAGGTTTGTAGTTATTTTTAACCAGAATGGAAGCAAGGAACAACTTCAAAGGTTCAAAGTATCGCTCATTTTGATTGAAATAGATCGAATTTTCCATAATTATCAATCAAAAGCAATAATGGTTAATCCCTTGAATTAAGTGAAAGGCTCTATGTCCAACAGTGGATTATTGCAAACTGATGATAGTTGCGTGAACAATCAATCATTCATACATTACAGCAATTCTACTGCTGAACATTGACCTACCCATTCATTGAACAATGAACAAAACAAATAAATGTTAAAAAGAATACAATGAAACTGTTTTATTATCAGGTTTTAAATATGAAATCTCTTTGCTTTACTCGTAAAATAAAAGTAAATAATCAAATA